AGGCTTATGTGGGTTGGTATGCAAGGCAGAATGAATATTGGACGAGGTAACTCTGCCAACTCTCTGATCATACCAATGCAGTGATGCACTTTGTCCATGTGTTACGTCTGACACATAGTCTGCTTCAGTTTCACTTATAGACAGATTTCTGAATATTTTATTACAGTGCTCTTTTAGTTCACTACCGGTGAAAGTTCTATTTGCATAGAGGCTGCGTAGTGGTTGAGGCATCTGGCACATAGCTGGTGCAGGTTTTCTTGGCACAAAGTTGTGTGTATAACCAGAAAATGCACTTAACCCTACAATATTTGGGTTAATGCTGGATAGTGCATCCAAGAAAGTTCTCTGTTCAGTATGAGACAATGGCGGATGTCCAGTCATCTTCTTTTTATTGACTCTATCTTTAGAGGCCTCACTGTAGAACGTCACATCAGCAACAAGTGCTGGACCAACATTCTTTACAAAACACTGGTTCCACTTACAGGGTTCATCTGTACAGGCACTACTTGTATACCCCAGTCTAACCGCAGCTTCCATCTTAAAAAGTAGAGCTGCAACATGGGAACATGTTTCTCCAAGTCTGCAATAATAATAATAATAATAATAGTAGTAGTAATAATAATAATAATAAAACAGCAGTTAATGATGCACCAGTGCAGTTTAACAATTCTACAAAGCCACGTTGTTTAGATAATTTTGACAAATATTTGCAAAATACAGATTTTAATCTGTATTAGTATCTTTGGTATTTGAGCAGATTTCTTAGTTGGTTAAAAAACAATAAAATCAGCTATATGTGCAAGTCCTTAGATGAGACATCAGGATATCTGTAATATACTAAATAAAAATAAATTATGAAGTTACTCACCCCGCCATACAGTCACAATGACCAGCTATCACAGTACCAGATTTTGTTGTTGCCACCCAAGGATGATGGGGCTCATCACCGATGGCTTCACATCTGCTTTAAAGATCAAATTGTCTGAAGTGGTCTGTAAATGGTATATAGTTTGAACCCATCCAGAAACAAAGAACTTGTATGCCTCCAGGGACTTGAAATTCTCCATTGCCGCAGATGAATAGACACCTAATAACAGGGACAATATACACTGCATATAATTTTACACATTCAACGACGCCACGATCATTCCAACGACAAAGAAATGCTACAACTTTTCGGAATTTGGATCGAAACGTCAATTTAAGAAAACATTATAAATGAGGAATAGTATAATTTGTTTGTTAGTCGATTTACTTACGTGGAAATTTTATCAAATAGTGATAAACGTCAGGGTACAGAATGTTTGGCCATGCTTTAGGATTGTTAGCCCATTTATTCGCCGGAATTTTGTTTGGGCACATTTCAAGTCCAACCACAGCTATCTTTGACCTATAACGCACCCTAGCATCATCTGGTAAGCGATCTTCATATTCGTAACTCATGGTAGACGAAATTGTGAGCTCTAAGGCTGAGCAAGTGATCCACGTTGCTACGCGTACGACTCCCCCAAACAAAGATGGCTGACGGCGTCACTAGGCACGTCATGTGATCTGTGACGTAGGCTTGTCTTACAGAATAGTCTCAGAACTTGTCAGAAGCAGACGACCATTTTCCGTTCACTGCGAGAATCACGCGTTATGCGTGAAATCGAACGTAAAAACAGGACAAACAAAGGTCATAGCGTCGTAGTCGCGTCAAACATTGCGTGGGATTCGACAAACGCGAAAGTATTTCGGGGACATTTCCATGCTTAATAATGTGCTGTCCACATTTGATGATAGGCAATTTCGATTAAGTAAGGGTATTCGGAAGCAATATTCCTCTGTCGAAGATCGGCCGGTCAATGTAAGCTACGAAATAAAGAAATTCTAGTTCAAAATCAAATCTTTCGATTTTTGCGGCAGACGTTCGACGCGCGTCTTTCATGCATCTCGCGAGATCTCGCAATTGTACGGAAAATCACCTAATTCATTACGTTGGTACGCATTATAAAGAGCCTATATTTCTAAGTTGCACATGTACGTGGTAATCGTTACACGGCGTTCAATACGGGACGTATATCGGCTAAACAAAATAACTTACTTGGTTTCGTGTATTCTGAGTTTCGTTTTGAAAATCCCTCTTCGTCATGTCCAAGCTCAGACTAGTCTGAGGTCCAAGTAAATTTTCTCCCACCTTCGACGTGTGCGCATTCTTTGTGCGCATAATCGAGTCCGCTCTGTTGTTCCCATTGTTCATTGCGCAGCTCAAACAATCGCGCGCAAGTGCAAGTTGCCACGGGCACTTTAACGCAGAAAAAAATGTCATGGCATGAGCGGATTTCAGGGATTTAGAGGGGGCTGTGGCCCCCCCTATTATTAATAACCAACAAGGCTTCGCGCCATCGGCGCTCGCGAACTTGGCCTTTGGCCAACTTATCGCCCCCTTCCTATTCCAGAATCTTAGATCCGCCCCTGCATGGGCTATTTAAATGAAGTACATGTTATTTGGCTCTGAATTACCACTTATGGGCCAGTATGGTGGTCGTTGTGTACTACTTTTTCAAGTTCCTCTGTCAAGTGCCCGTGGTCGGGGCCAGGTTACTCCGGGGGTTACTCACTCATTGATGGATATCACTCATGTAGAAGAGGGGCAAGGGAGATAGCTGGTACAGGTTACAGGAAATAAAAAATGCATTTTACGTTTTTACAGGAAATAAACAGAAAAGTTCCAATTACAGTAAAAAATAGTTTTTTACACTTTACAGATAAAGCAAATTTCTAATTACATTTTTATAATATGCTTGATATTTTGTGTTCCGTCAAGAATCAAAATTGGAAATTGCTTACGAATTACGACAATTAATGAAAATGCTTCATACGCTTACAAAAAATAATATATTTGTACAAATTACGGACAAATAAAATATTTACGTTTATATTTATTTAAATTACATTATACGAAAATAAAATTTACGAAAATACCCCTTGCCGACTTCCATGTATATAGAATTATAGTTATAGTTGAAGTTATTTGCAACATAGAAATACCTTGTCGACCGACGATGACCCAACATTTCAAGACACTCTGCACTATTTATTTATTTCTTACTTTTGTAGTTTATAGGTTTATCATTCGTATATATTTATTGCTAACAGCTCATATAAATGTTCATTTTCTAAAGATGCAGTTTACAATACCCTGTGTGATATATCCATCATTTCTTTTGAGGTATATTATTTTGGATATACTTTTTTAATATTTTATTATTTATTGAATTGATTTACTTATTAATTATCAGGATTCACTTAACTCATACATGCATGAGAACGAATATTCAGGTTTCCATGATTTCTATAGGAACACGATCTCGCCATATTTGACAATATCGTTTGGTGACATGTAATACAAAATAGTATTTTGTTATGAAATGGAAAATACTGATTATCACGAATTATAGGGATTCGAAATGCTTTTATATGGATTACTATGGAAATTGTTTCAAAATGCCCATTTTTGGCATTTTGTCACATGATTTTCTCTAAAACCATTTGTACCGGATAAAAACTCCAAAAAATATGGCATATATCCAAATCTATGAGCCCTTTTGAAACAAAATCCTGTGGTAATATCAGGGGG